CAGGGGTCCCCCGCTCGCCCCCCGGGCCCCTGCTCTAGCTCACCCCCGGGCCCCCCCGCTCGCCCCCCGGGCTCTCACTCACCACACGTTGCTGGCCTTGGTCTGGTCCACCACCAGCAGGTTGCAGTGCACTTCATCCACCAGCTCGGGTGCGATCCAGCGCAGCGGCACCCACAGCTGGTCGGCGGTCACGAAGTAGTCCTCCTGCGGGCACAGGGGACGGGGCTACCACGGGCTGCCGGACGGCGGGCCCTGACCCCCAGCACGGCCCCCCGCCGTCTTACCCTGTATTTGCCATGGGACAGGCCGTAGTCGCCGATTTTCACTGTCAGGTCGGCCGCGAGCAGGCAGTTCCTCAGGGCCAGGTCGCTGGAGGGCGGGAGGGTGGGGGTCAGTGGCAGGGCCAGGCTGGGGGCATCGGGGCACGGAGGGGCTGGACCACTTGTCGCCGAGGGCATTGTCATGAGTGGGTGGGAAAGGGAGTCTGAGCGTCAGCCTGTCTGCGTGCGGCCCCAGGCCCTCGCCAGACACCGGGCACGCTGGAGGGCCCACGAGGACAGGGCCTCGAATGTTCCAGTCCGGAAGAGGCCGGAGCATGCCACGGGGCCCTCAGCGAAGGCACGGCCCACCCATCGCTAGACCTCCCTCCTGACCCCAGCTGTTGCCCCTGCTTCTTTCCCACCCGCCCACTGAGCCACCCCTCGGAGGCGAGCCAGCCAGGGGCGTGGCCGCCCTTCTTCCCGCCCACTATCCCCTCACCCTCAGCAGTGGAGGCACTGAGACCCCAAGTCTCCCAGGGGATCCTGACCCTGCCCGGCTCACACAGGGCTGGGCCCCCGTCCTGGCCCAGAGCAGGGTAGAGGCGGGGAGTGACCCCCCCCCGCCACTGCAGGCCAGTGGCTGGCCTTGGACTGCGGGCTTCTCCCCTGCCTGCTCGGCAGCCACAGGGGTGTCTGGGGGCCCAGGGCACTACGGCAAACGTGGGGTCAGCGCACATCCACCAGGGGCCGCGGACGGGCCTGCGCTTGGGGCTGGGTGGGCCCGGCGGGCAGGTCGGGAGGCTGGCAGCTGCCCTCTTCAACAAAATCACTGATGCTGGAGTTACATGTGTCATCACTCAGCACCAGGATGTTGTTGGGGAGGACGGCCCGTGCGGCGTCCGGGGGCACCGGGACGTGGCTGGGGAGGGCGGCCCGTGCGGTGTCCAGAGCTGGCGGGGCACCCTGGTCCATCTGGGCCAGGGTGGGAAGCAGGACAGAGCCAACCCGCCCCCAGGGGCCTACAGGACACAGAGGCGAGCAGGGGCCCGTGTGGGGCCACCGGGTGGCTCTGGCCGCCCCGGGGACAGAGGACGGGCCTCAGGCCCTGCTGTGAGCTTGCCCAGGCCAGCCCGACATCCTGCAGAAGCAGGTGTCCGCCACACCCCCAGCCCCCCGTCTGTCTTCCATTTCAGCAGATGTCTTTGCACCATGGTCCCTAGAGGCTGAATAAAGACCCAGCTAACCCTCACACAACCCCCAAGGCAGGTGCCCGTTTGTGCAGGGGAGGCCGCAGAGAGCCCGCAGCCCCGCTCCGCCTCACCTGTGCACGTAGTTGTGACGGTGCAGGTGCAGGACCCCACAGGCCAGCTCGCAGGCCATGCGCTGCAGGGTGAGGGGGTCAGGCGCCATGGACTCTGCCACCCGGCAGCTTCGCAGGTAGCCCTTGAGGTCCCCCTGCCAAGAGGGGCAGCATCATCACCCGCCGGCGGGGAGCAGGGACCCCGTAAGCCCGCTGCCCCGCCCCTCCCTCCCCACACAGGGCCTGCTAACAGTGGAGGTGGGGGGGGGCCCCAGCCACCACCCTGAGTCTGCCCCCCAGCGGCCGTTCCTCAGTAGGACAACCCCACGGGCGGAGGGCGCTTTCTCTGCGGTCCCCGCAGACCACGTCCTGGGCACAGACCACGTCCTGGGTACAGACCACCGGGCCCACGTGCCTGCCAAGCAGACAGGCCACATGAGCAGCGACGCCAAGCCTGGTGGGAGCACAGGGCAGAGGACCCGACGGCCTGCCGGCAAATCCCCAACCTGCTGACACCGCCCAGCTCCAGAAAGGGCCCAGCCGTGCTGGGGAAGCCCCAGGAGGTCACGGCAGCAGACAGTGCGGGCCAGCGTGCCGGGAAGGCCGGGGCAGGGGCCCGGGGGGCATCTTGCAGGCAGTGTCACACCACCGGGAGTGAAACAGGCCACGTGAGGCCTAGGAGGCGGAGGTGAGCAGCTCACAGGAGAGCGTCTCTGCGCCGGACAGGCGGCCGGGCTGGCCCCGGAGTGCAGCGGGGTCCTGGACGCAGCAGCCGAGATTACCGCGCAGGCTGCCTCGGGGAGGCGGCAGGGTGTGCCCCCCAGGTCCCACTGTTGGGGGAACATAAGGCCCACAGGATGGCGACGAGGGCTCCCCAGCTCAGCCGATCCGCCTCCGTGGGGAGGCTGGGCCCTCCTGCTGAGCAGCCTGCGGGGCAGGGGGGGCGGTGCCAAGCAGCGGGACACGGCACTCACCATGGGGCAGAACTCCATCACCAGCAGGTGGGGCGTCGCCTCCGCGCACTGCGCCAGGCACTGAAGCAGGTTGCTGTGCTGCAGGGCCCTGCAGGAGCCAACAGGCTGCCCTCCTGACTCGGACTCAGGGCAGGAGGGGGCGGGCGGGCGGGGAGGGGGGCTGGCTCTGCAGGGGTAGGGGAGGAGCAGGGACAGCACAGAGCTTGCCTTTGTCCCCAGGGCCCCGTGCCCAGCAGCCCCCGCCCCCCCCCACGAGCCCGGCCCTGGGGGCCACCCACCTGTAGGGCTGAGCCTCCTCCAGGAACTGCACCTGCTCCTGCACACTGGCACTGGCCTTCAGCTCCTTCACCACCACCTGCGTGCTACTGATGCCCGAGTTCACCTCCCCCAGGAACACCTGTGGGGGCGGGCGGAGCCTCCATCCCTGCTCCTCCTCACTAACCCCGCCCAGCCCCGAACCTGGAAGGCTCGCTTTACTCCTCTGCAAGAAGGGTTCCCCTCCCGGCCGTAACATTCTCTCTTGTGTGGTCATCCCGAGGCCCCCAGCTGTTCTCAGCTCTCTCGGGGGGGGGTCTGCCGTGAGGAAGAGGGGACCCCCAGGCTGGGGATCAGGGAGAAGCCAGGACCAAGACACGGTCCCCCAACCCAGCCCTCTCAGAGGCGCCCCCCAGCATCTGATCCCAGGGCCTGCACAGAAAGGACGCCCCAGGAGGGGATGGCAGGAAACAGGGCCCCAGGGCTGTGGCAGCTCCCAGGAGAAGCAGGTCTCCTGCCAGGCAAGAGAGGGGGCCCATGGTGTCAGCAGCCCCCATCCCCCCGCCCAGGGTCAGCAACTCACCTTCCCGAACCAGCCGTGGCCCACCTCCTCCAGGTACAAGAGGCTGTGCCGGCCCAGGTCTGTGGACCTGAGGAGCTGCACTGTAACAGGGCAGGGGCTCAGGAACCCCAGCTCGGGCTGTCACTGCCCCCATCTGCCCTTCCAAGGCCCCTCCAGGGGCTGCCCACTCAGCTTGTTCGGGGGAGCTGCCCTAAGCCCCCCAGAGTGGGGCCACGGCTGGGGGCTGCCATCAGGAGCAGGGTCCCTGTTGCCCCGAGGAGCCGTGGGCCTGCAAGCCGCATCCGAGCATCTTTCTGGGTGGGTCTGGGAAGGCTGGTCCCTAAACTACAGGGACACGCCAGGCTGAAGACAGCGGGGCCTGGAGCCAAGACCAGCGCACAGGCAATGCCAGGCGGGCAGTGTGGCCGGGGCCAAGCCGGTGGGGAGGAGGGCACCCGAGCGGCCCGTCCCCTCACCCCTGCCACAGGCTGGCATTCCAGCACCAGGCTCACCAAAGGCTCCTTTGTTGGAGGCTGCTTGGCACAGCCCCGTACGGAACACACTGGGCCCATTCTCCTGCAGCCTGGGCTGGGTGAGGTCAGCAGGGAGGAAGGGTCAGTGAGGGCCCCGGAGGAAGGGCTGGGGCTGCCGAGCCCACTCACGCCCCATGCCCCAGGGATTCCCCGAATTCTGCTCCCACGCCAACCACCCTGAGGGCATAGGGGGTAGGGCCGGGCCTAGAATGTCAGGAGCGCCCCGGGGATGGGGGGCTGCTCCGGGGAATGTGGACCTCCATGCTGAGTGGTATTTAGGGGGGTCCCACTGGGCCCTGAGCCTCAGGGTTCCTCCCCCTGGGCCCCCACCTGCTGGCTGTACTGTCCTCCACAGTCTCGAGGGTGGCCCTTGTCACTCAGGTTTTTAACCCTTGACCTCCACGCGGGCTGCCCCCCCCCCGCATCACCTGAAATCTCTCCCCTCCCCAGAAACGGGGTACCCTGTCACTCAGGTTTTTAACCCTTGACCTCCACGCGGGCTGCCCCCCCCCCCGCATCACCTGAAATCTCTCCCCTCCCCAGAAACGGGGTACCCTGCAGACCTGCGGCGTGAGCTACAGGAATGGAGAAAACAAGCAGTCGCTGCCGTCTCCTGGCCCCAGATCCCCACCCTCAGGGACAGCCCCCTGAGGGGTGGGAGAAGCCGGGGTCCCGGACACTGCCTGTGGGCGACAGGCCCAGGCTGGGCAGGGGGGCCGGGCCGGTGTCCCCTGGGATGAGCCCCGGCTCCCCCCTAGTGACCAGTGTCCAGGGTCGGCACAGGCCCAGAGACCCCCACGGCCATCCAGGAAGGTCCGGGGGCCTCCTGCAGCAGCCCCCCCCCTCGGGGGTTTAGGGGCTGCTCTTTCAGGTCAGTTGGTAGCTACGCACATGCCCTCGAGCCCCAGGCCCTGGCTCCTGCCTGACCGCTGACGCCCCCCCCGCCCCAGGAGACGCTGGCTGGACAGTGAGGGGTGACACCCTGGTAGCCCCGGGGGCTGCTCTGAGGACCCAGACCAGGGCCTTGATGACGTGCGGGCTTCCGAGTGGGCAGCATCCAGGTCATGGGCCTGAAGGTGTGGAACCGAGCACGTGGGATGGGCCTGCCCATCAACAGCACCACAGGCCTGGTGCCCCCTAAGCCCCCGCAGGGCCTGACCCCTTCCCTCGGTGCCGCGGGTGGGGCTGGGGGTCAGCACAGGCCTAGCCTAGGAGCCTCCAGGGAGGGGACCTGAGATTAGGCTGCCACGCTAGCCCCACCCCCACAGTGAGGGGTTCCCACAGCACCAGCCTCAGGAAGACGGGTTCAAAGGCCAGCTGGACACTGACCTCTACCCCCTCAAGCTTGGACCCACATCTGCCCTGTGGGTGGTCACCCTGGTGCAGGGCGGGCGGAGGGGGGAGAGCCCAGGATGGGGAACAAATGGGAGACAGGGCAAGGAAGCCATGGGAAGAGGCCCTTGCCTGCTCCCCAAGGCCCGAGTCAAAGGACCATTCAGGGCCCCGCCCACAGAGGGGGCCCCAAGGAGCCCCTCCTCCCTGAGTAGGTGGGCCCCGCCCACTGGGCACAATGGAGCCCATGTCCCTGCGTGGCCAGCCGGCGCTGCGGGGGTTGTCTGGGGTCCGGCATCCAAGGACAGCAGAGGAGTCCCTTGTCCCTGGTGCCCGGACTGCCCCTTTGCACAGCAGCCCCCAGGAGGGGGAGGTGGCGGGCAGAAGGCTGACCCAAGCCTGTCCACAGTCCCCCTGCTCCCAGCAGAAGGGGGCACCTCCCAGCCCTTGGCCGCCCCCTCCCCGGGAGCACTGACTGCTGAGTCCGGAGGCCAGGCCGGACCCTGAATCACCCCTTGTGCTCACCGCCCAGGCTTCTCTGGAGGGATCACTCACCTGAGCGCCCCGGCTGCTTGGCCATGGGCAGGGAGACCTCGGTGAGCGGCAGGACATACACGTCTGGCCCGTTCTGAGCCCCTGTCGCAGGGGAGCCCTGTGCCGAGAAGCCAGCGGCGTACTCGTCCCCCTCGGCATTCTCAAACTCCTGCAGCGGTAGGTGGGCGCCCGGCGGGCAGTGACTTCAGCGCTCCAGGGATGGGGGGACAGGGCCGAGGGGTGCAGGCCCAGCTCAGAAAGGACCGAGCTCTCACCTCTTCTGGAGCTGGGGGTGGAGCAGGCTGGGCGCCTGACCCAGAGTTGGGGCACCTGCTAGCCGCCCCTTCCACCCAACCTCTCACTGCTCAGGGCAGAGAACACACCCCGCTCCTTCCCCCCAGAGGCACCAGCCGCCCTGGAGGGCCAGAGAGCTGGCCTTTGTCCTGCGTTGGTTGTAGGGGAGCGTGATCTTCCTCCCAAAGGCATGGGGAGGGGGGCCTCAAGCATGTGGGCACCTTGCCCAGCCCAGCCCACCCCCAACAGCGGGCAATGCTGGCCCCACATGGGCAGGGGTGGGGCCCGAGACAGGAGACCAAGAGGCCCATCCTGTCTGCCCCCAACTCCTCTTTGCCACCCCTCCCCCCAACAGCCAGTGATCCCAATCTCAGGGTCAGGGCTGGGGAGCAGGGAAAGGGGCTCCATCACCCCCCCCAGCCTGCCCCTTCCAGACAAGGAGCATTCCTTAACCAACTGAGCCACCCAGGCGGCCCCCAGACAAGGAGCATTCCTGAGTGCCCAGAATGAGGAGCCCACCCCCGTCTCCACCCCCAGGCCAGGCACCCACAGCCCTCCATAGCCATCTGCCTGCAGGCTGCCCTGGACCTTGACCCAGGCGGGGTCTGCTCCCAGGGCTCCTTAAGAGCCTGGCCCTGCAGCCTGGGGCTGGTCCCTACCTGGCAGGACTGCTATTTTGAAATGCGGCTGGTGCACCTGTCTATGGGGAAGACCCCTCCCCCAGGTCCAGAGCACACTCCAGAGGAGAGCCGAAGTCTCAGAAATCCTCTCCTACTGAAACAAGAGCAGCCTCCATCCCTGGAGCCCACAAGCCCACTGCCCAGGTGGGGAAACTGAGGCTCAGAGCCCTCCCCCTCGTGTGGACAGGTGGGTTGACCGGGATGCAGGGCGCTCAGGTTTGTCCCTTGGCCCTGTGTGCCCCGGGGACGCTCCTCCCTCCCGGAAGCCCTCTGCTGGCACCCCTGTGGGACGGTCCTGGTCCCTACCCAGCGAGGGGGAAGGGGGCCGGTGCCTGCGATGCCTCCCCTCACCGGGGCCCGGAGCCCACCCTTGGGGCCCTGGGGTATCCGCCGCAGCTACAGCTCCATCCGCTCCCATCAGACCTGGCCCTGGCCCCGGCCCGTACCTGACGGTGCCGCCTGGCAGCCCGCTGGATCGTGCCAGCAGAGCGGGCCATCAAGTAGCACAGCGTGAGCATCGCCGCCCGGCCCCTTCACCCAGCAAGCTCCACGGGGGTGCCCAGCCCTGGGCCCCTAGAGACCAGGCCCAGCCCCTGGTGCAGGCAGGCCCGCCCACCCAGGCGCGCTGGGGCTGGAATGTTCTGGGCACCATGTTCTCCAGGAGGTGAGGAGGGCACGAGTAGGAGGGGCCGAGGCTGGCCTTTGTTTGGGGCCTTGTTCTCACAGCACCCTGAGGAGGGGCTGACCTAGACCAGGTCCCCCACGCCCACCCCCCATGACCTCGCAGCTCTGGCCCCAGGATCCTGCCAGGTGCGCCGCGGCGTGCCTGCAGGTCAGGAACACAACCTCCCCAGGGCAGGGTGCAGGGAACGTGGGCAGGAGCATGGACCCTGCAGCCCCCCAGGGCCACAGCCCTGCCATGGAGCCACTGAGGGATCTGGGAGGGCAGCCTCTGCAGGCTCCCTCTGTGACATGGTGCTCTGGAGCAGAGGGGTTGTTTCTCTAAACTGGGAGTGATACAGTTGGGGCGTGGGCCACTTAGTATGGACGCTGATGGGGGCCACAAGACGGCCCGTCCCTCCTAAATTCGCCAGGCCCGGGAATCTACCCTCCAGCTGTGGGGGGGGGGGCGGTGGGGACGGGCATGGAATGACCACAGGCCAGCGCACCATTTGCTAAGTTGGCAAGAACTCAGCCCACGTGGGCGGGGGGGCGGGTGTTGCCTCTGGTCGGGGTTCTCAGCTGCCAACTTCTCCTGGTCCTCCCCTCTCAGAGCTGCAACTGGACATTGGGGGGCAGCCCCCCAGGGATGCCCCTCAGCCACCATCCTCAGGAGGGGCCTCAGCCCTAGAATCCAGCCCAGGCCCCTTGGGAACGGAACCCGGGAGGGGGGGTGGAAATTAGTGAAGACAGTGCATTTAGCCTAAGCTCTGTCACCCCAGAAGTTTCTAGAACCGGCACACAGCCCCCTCCCTGTGGGGTAAAAGACGCCCAAAGGAAGGTGACTCCAGCAGGCAAGGTGGGTTTTTTGTGCGGGGGCAGCACGTCTGGGCGGCTGCTGGTTCGAGTAATCGGGGGCACTTCTTCCACCAGGAAGTCAGGGGCCTCTGGGGAAGCGAGCCCCCTCCTCCCACACTGGCTCAGGAACCCCTGGGGCCCCCTGCAAGAAGGTCCATCCTCACTGTCCCGGAGGGCCCAAACTGCACAGCACTCAGAGGCCACGCCCACACAGAGGGGACCCAAAATGGGGGAGAGAGTGGGTTGGGGTCCCTGAAAGCCTCCAGGCCCCTCCTGTTTGCAGTAGCCCCCAGGGGAGAGGCTGTGGGGTCCCAGGTCTATAGGGTCCGCAGGTGACCCCAGGAGGGGGGAAAGCTCAGAGGGCCCGACTCTTGGGATCCCGTCCACATTCCCCTCGGACCCCCCAGCCCTCACCTTGAACCCGATGCCACCCTTCTTACAACACAGACAGGCCAGCATGAGGGCGATGACAGTGAAGAGCCCGGAGAAGGACACTGCCACCACAGCCAGGGAGGACGACCAGGAGAGCTCGCTGAGCGGGGCGCCGTCTGCCGAGGAAGACGGGGTTACAGGGCAGCCTCCAGGGACCTGCTCCCCCATGCTCACCCGGTCCCAGCAGCTGCACTCAGGGGCCAGCCGAACCCATGACTCCCCAGCCCACACCCCGACTCACGGAGGCCTGAGCCTCAGCACCCTGACCCCTTGCTCTGAGACCCGCCGCACCTGCCACCCACGGCCCGGTCCCCAGGCTCAGAGCAGGTGGACCTGCGGAGCCACCGCCGCCGCAGTTCCCAGAATGGCCACTGGGAGCCGCTCTGGCCTCACTCAGAGGATACGGGGTTGGCAAAGCGGCGGGAGCCTCCCCAGGTCCCAATTCTGGGGGCTCATGGATACCCCTCCGTGAGGTCAGGGTCTCGGGGCCATGGGAAATTGCCCTCCACGTCTCTTCCAGACTCTGGTCACCCCGCCTCCCCAGGGGCGGTCACTTTGCCAAAGCTCTGAGCGCGGTAAACCCTGCAAGAACCCCAAGGGGCCAGGAAGGAGACTGGGCCCCGCTGAGTGGGGGAGGTGTCGGGGCTGACCGCATGCCAGGCTCTGTGTGACCGGGGGTCAGCGTCCTGAGACAGGAGGGATGTCTGTTCCCTGAGGCCAGGGGGATCTCACTGTCCCCAAGAAGGGGGCAACACACTGGTTGGGCACAGAGTTCCTGCATGCAGCCTGGCACGTCCAAGTTACCCTCCTGCTGAAGTGACCACCAAGGGCCCCCCTGGTGCTGTTTCTGTCCTGGGAACAGCGGGGCCCCCCCCTTCTGCAGCACCGGGTCCACAAGAGCCCCCGCACGGCTGACCCTCACCAGATGCGGGAACGGAGGTGCCCGGACAGCATGACAGGCTCCCCTGACATGTAAGGATGGCCCCCAAATTAGGGCTCTGGGCTGCCCCCACCCCCCAGCTGAGCCAGGGCTTTGGGGAGCCCGGCTCGTCTGCTGCTCACCGGACAGCCCAGGCGTAGACAGAGGCAGGCCTGCCCCTCCTGTCGTGTCGCGCTGGCTGAAGTGCACGCCCTGCCCCAGAGACCTGTCTGTCCATCCTCCGTGTGGCCCCTGGAGGTTTCCTGCCTTCCCACCAAGCACCCCCATGGCTGACTCCTCAACACCCCGCCACCCAACCCAGCACACCTGCCATGCCAGGCCCATCAGTTCAGGTCAAACCTGGTCTCAGCGAGGCCTCACGGGGTCCTAACTGGCCACTGAGGTGACCCCCCAGGCCTGTCCCCCCTGGACAGGAGGAAATGAAGGCTCAGCGAAGGCGAGGAGCCTGCCTAAGGTGGCACAGCTGACCTCTGACCGATGTGCTTCTGCTCCCGTGCCTTCTGCACCCACGTAGGAAGCCAGGGCTACAAGCTAAGCTATCTGGGAGGGCTGCCTGGAGGCAGTGTGAGCCCGAGGGCCTAGAAAGATGGCAAGCACAACCTAGACTTCTGCTCAGGTCTCCAAGCTCGTTCCCTACACCCACACACAGGGAAGAGGGGCCCAGGTAGTTGGGGCCGGGCAGGGCTGGAGGGCAAGGAGGGCAGGGTCACCGTGGCAGGGGAAACCAGCTCAGCCTGCCCGAGGGGGAGACCCGCGTGGAGGGCAGCCACAGGCCATGTCCCCGTGCCCAGAGGGACCCAAGGCAGATACCCTCACAGGGCCTCTGAAGGCCAGTTGGGGTGTAGGTGTGTGGAGGTCCCTCACTGGGCTCCCACAGCACACAGCACACAGCCCACAGGCGGCGGCCCACTGCTAGTCTGCCCAGGGCCAAAGAGCCCCAGCTCCCCGCACCCCAGGAAGCAGCCAGTGCCCTCAGGCATGCAGCCCTGCCACAGGGATCCATCGGGTATGCAGCACACACCCCTCCCGCTGCCTCCACTGCACACAGGCTCTTGCACGCCCTCCCCTGGCAGGTCCTGGAGCCTGGGGCTGGCACTGGGCCCTTGAGGATGGCAGCAGGCACCATGGTCCAACGCCGCCCAGCCCTCTGGGCTGCACAGACTGCTGCTGGGCAGGACTACCTCAGGAGGCCCAGCCTCAGCCTCCAGCCTCAGCCTCAGCCTCAGCCTCTGCCCTTAGCTTCCAGCCTCAGCCTCTGCCCTTGGCCTCCAGCCTCAGCCTCAGGCACCCTGGACCCAAACCCCTTGAAGTGGGCCCAAACCCACTGTAGCCCAGGGGGCAGCTGTAGGAGGCAGGGGGGCCGGGCCAGGGGTTTCTGGAGGAAAACCCCACGGGGGCTTCCTGGAAGCAGCAGCTAGAGCTCACCCCTGCACCCCCAGAGCCTCGCAGGCCAGGCGGGTCACACTTCAGGCATAAGAAGGGTTCTTTTCCATTGTTATTAGGCTTCTGCTGGAATCAGAGGAATCCACACAGAAGGGACCAGTGTGCAGCTCCTTTGTGCAAAAACACAAGTTGTAAACGCCAACACATTCGAGAAATTAAACACACGTGAGAAGTAACAGCAAAAGCTAAGGAGCACGCTGCAAGCACCGGGTGGGGAGCCGCCTCCCCACCAGCGCTCCCCAGCGTCCCCTCCACCGCGAACCGGGTCCTCACTCGGCCCAGCAGAACCGCCCAGAACCACCCAGTGTTCCCGGCCACGCTCCGTCCCAGGGCCTGCCTCCGCAGCTGTGCTTGCGTGGGGACGATTTGCAGCAGGGGACCCTGTCTTGCTCGTATCGCCCGCAGAAGAGTACAGACCGTGACGGGGACGGCGCAGGCCCGGCAGCCGCTGTCCACACCAGAATGGGATACGTCCTCCCCGGCCGGGTGGCCCGAGTGCTGCGGCCGGCCGGTCATTTCCAAAGGAGGTACAGTGCTCTGTAAAGCCGCACGGCCACGTTTAGGTACAGCACCTCACACTTATTGGGCACCTGCTGTGTACCGAGCTCTCCCTTCCAGGTTGCGAAGGGGACAGAGCGTCTCCGGGGAGCTGGGTGGGAGAAGGGTGGAGAGCACAGTTCAGAACAGAACCAGGTGCAGGGCTGGGCCTCCCATAAAAGGAAAATGTGACTGGTGTCTGCCATCAGGTAAGTGGCGTCCGGGCGGAGCTGTCACATGACGGGGTCATCCCCTCCCTGCTCCCTCTCCAAGCACCTGTCCTGTGACCCTATGGGGATGAAGCTCTACTCAAGTGAAGGAAGCCAAACCGACCAGAGGGCGGGCCCTGGCCTGGAGCTGATCACACGTGAGAAATCTGCGATCGTTAAAAGCGACTCGGTGTCACCAGGAAGACGCGGGACGCCAGGGGGCTGAATGAGCCGCCGAGAGCCAGGCTGGCCCGGCGGGAGTGAGGGGCCGCGCAGGGGTCAGCAGCCTCACCGCACACCAGAGTGACCTCAGACGGACGGCGAAGTCAAATTATAGCAGCCCGGAGGGGAACAGGTAGACAGCAGGTTCCTGGAGAAGAATGTTTACGCTCAAAGCAATGGAGGGAATCACAAAATATCGTGGGTTTGGCTCCATAAAAACATGTGTTCCACACAAGCCCCAGATGAAAAGGGAAATAGCACACCAAGAAAAAGGATTTACAGAACAGACATCAAAAGACTGGTGTCCTGACTACAGAGGGCCCACAATAATCAAAAAATAAGAAAAGCCCCTTAAGACACCCCCCCCACCATAAACAAGCCAACTTAGCAAAGCCCACAAGAAGAGTTTCAGCCTCGTCCATAATCAAAGGAGCGCGACCCAAAACGCCACGTTGGCTTCCAGAGGGAGGGCGCCCCCGGCCACAGCCCGCGCTCCAGACCCCGCCGCCAGGTCCCCTGTGCACACATCCCAGCAGCAACGGGAAAGCAGGAGAGCTGTCCACAGAGCTGCCCCTTGGGGTCGGCCCTCCCGTTGGCCGAGTGATTCCTCGTCTGGGAATTTATACCAAGAGACTGACTGGAGGACACACAAACCCAGAACAAAAGCGAACCCGGGAATGAGTGCGTTACCAGTGCAGACGGAAGCATGTCTCCCACAGATGTTCATTGTGGTGACGTTTATAACAAAAAACAGCCCAAACGGTCCCCCCAAAAAGGAAGGATTACAAAAAACACTGGTATATCTGCAAAGGAAACCATAAAAAGTGAATTGAAGAAGTTTTAAACCAGGAAAGCTCAACGTCATGCTACTTAGAAGCAGCAAGGCCTCGAGGACACGTTTGGGCACGAGGCGTCAGTTACGTGACTGTGGGGCCACAGGCTCGGGGCTTCCCCAAACACACGCATGAGGTCTCTCAAAGGGCATACTTCAAACATGCACAGTTTAGGAGCGCCTGGGTGGTGCAGTTGATTGAGCGTCCAACTCTTGATTTCAGCTCAGGTCATGATCTTGGGGTCATGAGATCGAGCCCTACGTCGGGCTCCACACTCGGCACAGAGTCTGATTGGGATTCTCTCTCCCTCTGCCCCACCCCCCACCACACTCAAACTCTCTCACAGACTTTCTCTCTTAAAAAAAAAAAAAAAAAAAGACCATGCATAGTTTACTCTGTTTCAGTTCTACCTCAATAAAGCTGAAACCAAGAGGCACGATGCAGAAGCATTTATAAATCCGGGTCACAACTATGTTAACAAACAAACAAACAAAAAACCACCTGGAACAAAAGATCTCAAATTACGAAGATGCTTGTTTGGACGGCAGAATTCTTTCTAGTTGTCTGCAGTTTGTATCTCCTACCACAAGCATGCAGTCCATCTAGAATCAAACGTGTATAATTTTACGGAATTATCGCTCACTCTCAATCCCATTGTTCCATTCTTAAGACCCCCACGGCCCCAGCACACGCAGAATAAAGCCCTGGCAACGGCGAGTCTTGGGGTCCGCCCCCCACCCCCCACTCAAACCCCACCCCGAGGAGTCACCTAGCCAGAGGTCGGTGAGGTCTCCCCAGGGGCGTGATGGGGACACAGATGGAAGGTGGAGGTGGCCTTGACCAGGCAGGAGAAGGGGCGGCGATCCTGGCTCCAACCGCCCCGGGGACTTGAATTTTGGCCCTGTCTCCAGAGCGCCGAAAGGA